TGGGAAGATCCCACATGCCGCGGAGCGGCTGCCCCCGTGAGCCATGGCCACTGAGCCTTCGCATCCAGAGCCTGTGCTCCGCAACGGGAGAGGCCACAACAGTGAGAGGCCCGTGTAACAAAAAAAAAAAAAAAAAAAAAAAAAAAAGAATCTGAAGAGATATATTTAGAAAATTCTCCTGTCATACAGTTTCCACCTCAAAAAATAACAAACAGAACTTCATTTCTCTTTCTCATATGAAGGTATAGCATACTTGGAGGTTGATGGCTGACTCTGAGTTTTGAATTCTTGTCTCACCATTCATACCTTGCCTGAATCGGTCTTAAGCCATCACAATTTAAAAGCACAAATAGAAAATCATTCTCAGGTATCCCTTCACTTAACACTGAGTTACTGAGTGTCTTCTATGAGGGTCAGCCCTGCAGATTCTCTTTGATCTCAGCTGGGCCTTCAGTAAAGTTAGACAATGCTCTCATTCATCCCCATTTGATTTCTTAGTCCACCCACAAAGACAGCTGTTCCAAATCTCCAGACATCTCCCGCACTTTGCTAACCAGTCCACCACCTTTAACTTCTGCAGAGGACCTCATCTCCTGCCTTATTTAGAAGACAGAGACCACACACCATGGACACACTAAACGTCTCTCTGTTCCACGAAGAGATGAACGTCTGAGAACCACTGCCCTAAGATGGCCTAATGATGATGGAAACACAAAATCAAAAAACCTATTGATAAGTCATCGTTGGGTTTTTATCGGGCAGCTCTCCGGGTCATGTTTACTTTCCTCTCTGCTTGTACTGTTCCTGAGTTGCTGCAAGTCTATCAAAATGCCACTCAGTCAGAATGATCCCTGCAAGAAATTCTGCCTGAACCCAACCTCTGCCTTCTCAAAACAATTTCTTTCAAGAATTTGCACCCAATTTGTTTTTGCCTCTGTTGCCAGGGTCCAAGAAGTATGGCTTGAATGGTGGTCCTTTGAGGCACATCACACACAGTGCTTAGCATAGTGGCCATGGCTAGGCAGCCAGTACCCAACATCTTTGCATCCTGGGAGGCGTCCCACATGCACTGACCAAATTCTGAAGTGTCTTTGTACAGACAAGACCAACCAGGGCCCTTGACAGAATCTGTGAATCACAAAGTGCCTTTCAGTTTCCCTTTCAATTGGCTCAGTGGTGCAGAGAGACCACAGATTTGTCTTCTTAAGTTGACACACAATATATAATTAATAAATTGTTCCTTTAGGAATGGAGGGCAGCCATCCAAAGGAGCCATACATTCGGGAACCTCCTTCTCTCCTGTTTCCAGGGCCTTTTCTTCTCAGCCTGAAGTTTACAAACATTATCTCATCCACAGGCTCCTGTGGCCAACAGGTAGGTAACAAGCTGCGCAGGCTGCTTTCGGTTCCCCAATTTTCAAAGTCAGAGAGGTAGTGGCTGATTTAAAGGCACATAGCAAGTCAGCCTCTCTCACAAGAATAAATCTTGTGTCCAAAGACCACAGTACTGCTTTGTCTGCTGGGGGAAGCGAAGCATGCCTTCAACATTTTTGGTTGGGTTGCAAAATGCTGAATGTACACAGAGGAAGAGGTCCTTCCTGATCTGTGTTGAAATGTGAGAACTACCTCTGGGCTTCCGCTGGGCATATTCCCTCCCCCTTCTCTCTTCCTACTGCAGCTATACCCACCTTCAGCTTGCTACTCAGGAGCACTTCCCAGCTGAGGCCGTTGCTGACACCACATCTTACCACACTTTCTTTGGCTACCTTTTGCAGGTCAACCTGGAGCTGGGTTCCTTGGTCACAGAGACCAACTCCCCTGGGAAAAGCAAAATCCAGGAAGGCTCTGGAGGTAGAAGAGTTGGTAAGAACTCGAGGTTGATGACACCTCCTCCTCCAAACTGGGACTCCTCTTAGCAGGGATCAAACTATCCCTCCTCATCCCCAGCAATGAAGACTTACACCAGCCAACTCGCAGGTGTGCTGTTCTTGGACATGGCCACCAGCAATGAGGTGTCTGCTGAGTGACCAGGGCGGAACCTTCACTGTGGGAGGCCTTCTAAGGTCACTGAATCCTTTAGCAGAGTCAACAATGACAACAATAAAAGATCTGTGTTCTTAAATTGACACACAATATATAATGTGGCATGAGCCACATTCTTAATGATTATGTAATTAATACATTATAATGATAAACATATAAATATAATAGTACTATGTGCTAGACACTCTACATAGCATTTGCATGCATCCCTTGTTTACCAGAGCATCCAATTAAGTACCAGCTCCTTCCCCACCACTGCGGGCACACCGTGTCACTGCCCGAGGTGACAGTATGCTCTACCCTCTTGCCCCACCTCCACTACTAATGCAGGGTCCATCCTCTGGACCCTAGGCTTAGCTTTGCTCCTCAGAACAATAAGACCAAAGGCCTTTTACAAAGGCTGCAATGAGGTGACTGATGCCTGGTTTCGTCAACTACAAGTGAATAATTAATACTTGCCAGTAAAGAAATAGACTCATTGTTACAGTGGCCACATGGAGGCTATAAAAGGCCATTTTGTGCAGCTCTTGGTGGAACCCTGGGGCCAACAGCGGCCAAAAGAAACCTCTTTGAGAGTGTAGGCTGATCCTCAAACATGGAGACTGGAGCTCGGCACTGTTTTCCAGGAGTGCGGTTCCCAATGTCAATTAGCTTGCTGCCTATTCATCACCTAATTCGGCTTACTGATCAATGACAGCAGCGGAGGCCCACTGAATGTCCGAGAGGGCACGATATATCACAGGGGACATGTACTGTTCCCCCGAGACCCTTTACCAGTTTTTAAATTCTTGCCTACTGTCTTCTCTGGGCCAGCCTCTGATTTGATTGGAGTAAAACTCTCCGATCCTGGTGGATTTTACACCCTACTATTGGCCTAATACCTAAAATGAGTTTTTCCTTTTCCATTACTAGCAGGGACTGAATAAGGCAGGCTTGGGTGCCTACAGAACCAGTCAGAACTGGCCAGGGAATATAATAAAGAAGCTTAGTGAGCAGAGCGCTAATGCCCCCAGCCAGAGGCTCAGCCTGCAGAACTAGCCAGAGGGACTGGCTTTGTGAGCAATAACACACTCTCCTTGTGGCCTCAGAGCTGCCCTGGCAGATGGTAGCCTGTGCCAACAAGTAACTCTCTATAGGAAAGTTTCACCTCTTCCAAGTGCACACTGGGTGCTCCACAATACCCTCTAGTGACAGTAACCCCTGATCAGTTACACACACAAACACACACACACACACACACACACACACACACACACACTACTCCTATGGTATTTTTGCCCTTAGGGCTGAAGCTGTCCCTGCAGCAAGCAAACAGAGCTGATAGCTGCTAAATGTTGTCATTTCATCAAGCTGTTCCCCAAAATTGCTACCCAGCTCCCCACTCCCACTTCCAGCTCACTGCCTGAAATTTCACCATTAGAGATATCAAATATTATTTACTTAAAGCGTTGTTTCCCATTAAAATGCCTGTAAGCCTCTGTTTCCTTTCTGGTCAGATGACTTCTAAAACACCTCCTGGGTCTAATGGGAAATTCTTGTGTATTTAGCTCTTGAGGATAAATGTGTTCACTGGCTCCTTTCCTGAAAACAATTTTTGACACAGGATAATGGGTGGGGGGATGGTGGAGCACAGGACAGTGTATGGAACTGGAGGTGGGCAGTCTCAGGGAGGGTTACAGAGAAGGAAGGTCTGATGGTGGAGAAAACAACCTTCAAGGCCTTCACCATCCTGCCAGGGATGTGAACCTAGATTTTTGCCCTCCAACATCTGTGATCTCATGGTTGCCAGAATGGTTTGCAACAGGGCCTGTGCCCCAAAGTAACTTAAGACACCCCCTGCCCTAAGGGGGACACAGGCATGGGGTGCCCGGGAGCCGGCAAGAAAAGATACTTGTCCCCTTCTTGGCCTGGCTGTAAGAGCCCATCAGCCCTTGGTGAGTCTTTCTGCTGTGCTGGGGAAACTAGGCAAGCAGAGGTCAAATTCCCTGGGCTGGGGAGGTCGCCTGGGCAGCCCCAGCGTCCTTCTCTGCCAGGTTCTCAATACAACCATACTCCTCTCGGACCATGCTTCCCGCCGCCGTCCCCACTGGCACACGGAGAGCACGCCCTTCTCTTCCTTTTCAGACGGTGTATACCCATGGAGGGGGAGGGCTGCCCTGAAAAGCAGAAGCCTACTACTGACAGGTAGGCATCTTCTCGATTGTTCAGAGCTCATGAAAACCCAACCTTTTCCCCAGAAGTCAGCCCACTCATCTCCTTTCCCCTATCTCCTCCCCCGCCTCCTGACAGCCGGGAGGGAGAGCGATGCTAGGCCGGAAGGTTTCAAAGCGGGTCAGGCGTGCCTCCTCTCTCATTAAAGCCCCCACCCCCAAACACCGCCTCTTCGCCCCTCGCCCCACCCATCTCACGTTCACTGAAGGGCTCTGTGTGCCCGAGACGGCTGCCAGGCGGGCGCAGGCGGTTCTCGCTGGCCCTGCGGGAGGCGATGGTGGCCAGAGCGCCAGATGCGGCGGCCGGCGCTCTGCAGTACCTGGGAGCGGGGAGACCGCCGCCGCCGCCGCCGCCGGGCTCGCGGCCGCTGCAGGTGTCTCCGATGCTCGTTATGAGCGCCGCTTCCTCCCCGGCCGGCGGCTCCGGCCCAGGCCGCGCACCTGCTGCTGCTGCTGCTGCCACAGCCGCCGCGCCCCAGCTCCGCCGTGCGTCGGCGCCTCCCGCAGGGGGTACGCGCCGCGGGGCCCAGGGTGAGCCGGAGGGGGCAGGGAGCTGTTCCGGGCCGGAGGCCCAGCCTCCGGGGGCTTCGGGGGCCCCCAGGCCGCGCTAGCCCAGCCGCCGTGCTGAGCACACCCCCGGGGCTGGGAGAAGAGGTGCCGGCCCCTCGAGCATTCTTACTGCCGCGTCGCCATCCCCAGCAGCATCCCAGTCCCCACGCCGGCCCCAAGGCCTGCCAGCACCGCTTACTTGGGTCTGCGGCAGGTCTAGGGGAGCGGCCCGAGGCTACTGCGGTGGCCCGCGCCGGGGCGCAGGATGCTCTGCCCCGCTCCGCTCCGCTGCGGCCGCGCTGGGCCCCGCCCTCGGCCCCGCCCCTCCACCCGCCGCGGCTCCTCCTCCGCTCCCGGTATCCCGCCCCTTCGCCGCTGCGGCTGTCACACAAAGAGCAGGAAATGGCTGCGGCCAGGGGCTCTGGGCGCGCCCCTCTGCGCGGCCGGCGCAGCCCGGACCTGCAACCCGGGCTTACGCCCCGGGAGAGCCAGCCGCGCCGCTTAGGGAGAACTTGTCCCCAGGACCCCTCAGGCCTGGGAACCACACCTGCAGCAGTAGGAGGACTGAAGGTTTGGCTCCTTTCGGACCTCACTGATCTCACATTATTTCCAAGTGCTCATTTATCTCCCTAATATTTATCGAGCACCTATTTTGCTCCAAGCACCGTGCCGGGAGCTGAGTAGGTACTGGTGTACAAAAGACAGGCCCCGGCACCTTTGGAGCTTATCATCTATTAGGAGAGATGGGGAATAAATGTACCTATAGCAAATGTCCAGTTGCAACTGAGAGACGTTCTGTGAAGAAGAGCAGGGTGAAGTGATAGAAAATAAACCTGAGGGTTGGGGAGAGGGGGCTTCCACCAATGGAGGCTGATCCCAAATGCTGTTCCTCTGTTCAAAATTACCTTCTCACCCTCCGTTTCACTTCCCTGAGGCCAAATCTCTGAAGCTGCCCTCTTTGAAGCAGGGATCTCCCTCAGCTTCATTCAGGAAGAATTAATTGCCTCATGGACAAAAAGGCAAATACATGGTGACAGGAAGTATTTACTGGCAAAGCCCGGGAAAGAACTGAGAGGACAGGCACCTTTCTCCTCAAGACTTATCTGCTGTAAGTCTCCAAAGAAACGGTTCTCATGGAGATGCAGCCTGGTGAGCCCTCAAACCAGGTGAAAGTCAGGCAGCACCGAATTCCAACCTTGGGAAGCAAGTCACTTCACCACTCTGATCCTGAGGTGCCACCTTATCTACAACGTGGGGAATAAGAGTTGCCTTTCCTACTTCACAAGGTAAATAATTTGAAAGCATTTGAGACTTTTTAAAGTTAAGGAGTAAAGTCTTGCTACAGGAGACCCTTTCTGAAATATTTCCAAAGGGCACACAAATTTCTAGTTAATCACTCAGCTCTTCCCATCAGGGGCTATTTATAGAGGAGCCACATTACTCAACACTCAGCAAAGAACTTGTAGAAGTCTTTGCCCTCCCTGATCTCACATCATTTCCCTAGCACTCAGGATTCATGATCCTTTGTGGTTTGATGTTACATCACTCATACTAATTTAAATTGCTATTTCAGAAAGGATGACATATATATATATATATATATATATATATATATATATATATATATATATATATTCTGTCTCTGGCGCC